TCGAAAGAGAAGTGAAGATAGTAGAAGAAAATGTAACGTACAGTGTATAAATGAATGAACACAAAATAGAAAACAAGAATGGAATAACCACATAAGCAGAATGAAGGAGGCCCGTGTGGTCAAAATAGCAAGAGATAGGTCACCAATCGGCAGAAGAAGTATCGGACGACCACGTAAAAGATGGAGTGAACACCTTCCATAGAGGTATTAATCCACCAATGAACAAGCAGAATTGCTTATAAAGAGAAAGAAAAAAAAGAAGCTAAATACAAAGTAACATCGTTTCACACATTATTTATAAAACGTTGGAATTGTTCCTAAAACTAATAAAAAGGTAATGTTTTGTACAACAAACTTTGTAAAAAAGGACACATCCCAGAGAAATAAAACGTAGATCTAGCAAAAGTCGTCGTAGGAAAGATAGCCAAAACCAAACTATGAAAGAACTCTCAAATTTCAGGAACTCTAAAAATGAGGTTGATTAACTGCTTAATATTTCCAATACTGGCATACAGATGTGAATCTTAGACCCTATGAAAATATGACGAAAAGAAATAAGATAGACACCACTGAAAAGACACCACTGAAATGTTCTGTTAGAGAAGAATGTTACGAATTCCGTGAACCCACCACAGGACAATTAATTAAATTTTAACTTCAGCAATTTCCAAAAATTAAATTACTTTGGCTATGTTACGGGACCCGACACAGAAAACATGGAAAAATTTATTATACAAGGAAAGGTAGAAAGCTGAAGATCACGAGGAAGATATCCAACAAGATGGATAGATCAAATTACAGGAATATGCAAAAGACCTATGCATGAGTTAAAAGAAATTACCAGAGTCAGAGATCTTTGAAGACGAACAATACACGACATCACGGTGACCACCACACTCCCTTCGAGTGTCAGGACCGAAAAGAGAAAGAGGTCCTGATTTTGGCGTTATCTCCTTGACTGACTTGACTTCTTGCTCTTCTGTAAATATAAATACACAGCTTTGAACATTTTATAGAGCAGTTTTAAAACGAAGATGTTCTTACCGCGATATATGTATTCGTTCACTGGTTTGCATTGTTCTTTGTTAGACCCGTATTGGTATTTTCTTTAGTGTTAGCCACTATGGTTCATCTTTTACCAATACCATGTCACAATTTACATTTTTAGAGTTAATGAAAATGTATTTCTTGGATGTAAGTGTATTTTTATGATCAATTAAAAGACGAATACGACTATAAATAGTTTTAGAACAGTTACATTTACAGTTCCTCAAAAAGAAACTCAAATAAAAATATACGGACATCCAGAAATCACTATACATTTTACTAAGAGACTATCGTTTTTTTATTATTTATTCTGGTGCTAATGTTTTTAAATCAATCTCATTATATTTAATAAATGTATGGTAATATTTAATGTTTCATTTTGATGAAATTATAAAATATTTCATAAGCAAAAATTTCTACTCAAATAACAACGCGAATCATTCAAAAGCATAACTAAATCGATATAAAAGGGTAAAAGCACTTTTACAATCCCCTGGAGAACTTCCTAAATTTACTATGTATTTTTAAATCATACTAACATCATGAGAGAATATTCCATTAAATATGTATTTTAAAAAAGTTATATTTGTGTATTTAGCGTAAATGTATATTACATTGTGAATAACTAGCAATAAAAAAATTACCTAGTCCAGTATATTAAACGCTATCAGTTGGCCAGTCACATTCGTTCATTGCTCTCTTCTTGTCGCCTTCGTCAATATATGCTAATTTTTTCGATTTTGAACAATTTGTCCGCCATTATTTTTACGTTATCGGTCCTCGCGATCTTTTTAGTTCCTAAATTTTCAGTTCTTGATTTGTTTAGTCTACCATTAACACATAGTTGTAGACAATAATATACGTTCCATGGTTCATTATCACTACTTTATCATTACTTTACATCGGCACACATATTTTATAAAAAAAGTGCTTCAAAAATTTACAGAATACATTTTTTATAAAGTTGTTTTTATTTTCAATTATTTGGATAAGTATTCTTGAATAAGCTGTTAGGTTATATTTTTGAGTCATATATTGTTCAGTTTCCTATATCGTTTGGGCCGTTCTAGCTTTTGTCTCTTTTGCTTGCGTTCTATTCAGATTGTCTTATTTATATCTATATTCTGGTTGTCTTATATGTGTCTTTCTATACTTTTGCACTGAGTCATTATCAGAAATTGTCACTGTTAACTTGTGTTAATTAAGATCGACTTATTGTGTTAGTGCATGGATTTAGTACACGTAGAACAAATTTACACTCCAATTTTACAAAAATTGTGTATGTGATAAACACCAAGCTGCATACAAGTTGAAATAATGGATGCATCAACAAACAAAAACAGTCAGCAGTCTTCTGAAATTTGTTTGCACTAATGGTGACTCACTACTATATGCTCATCTGCACGTATAAATATAAAATTGTTACTTCCCAGATATCATTTCTTTATTCGATTTCATGAAACCGCAATGGTATAATCTGAGGATTACCATCACCGCAATAAAACCAGGATTTTAAAATACACCCAAAATGGCACAACGTTGTCCAAAATCGCCTTTTATTTAATAAAATAAACCGAATATCTGCTCAACAGAGGACCCCTTGCATTCAAAGAGAAGTTGAAAAATGCAATTCATATCAAATAAAGAACTTGGCACATAATTAAAAATGTTTGCACCGTGAGACACTTTACATATATATCTGTTAACTTTTAATTAAAATAATTTCTGAATATATTGGATTACCACGTAAACAAGAAGCGTCACAGGTAACAGGCAGTTTTCCGCATTAGAAGCCAGTGCTTTGTGGCAAAAATGCTGCTGATGAGTTTACCTATCTCTGGTATGTGATCTCCAAAGGATGTCGGTGTCAGTTTTACTGTATCTCAGATGGTCTAATAATTTTATGGGGAGCTATAAAGTGATGAGGTCCACCTGCATTATCCACCTTATCTATTCAATAAGCACTGCTCAGATACAAACGATAGAAACTGCCCGATTTTACAATACATTTGGCCTAACAAAAGTCTGAAATCTGAGATGGTTGTGTAATCCCCTGAGAGACAAGCAAGATATAACTACCGGCACCCTAGATCAATACAAGTATAAACCCAACATAGCCTTGAGTCGACACAGATTGTAGTTTGTAAATAATGTTCACTACTAATTCTTCTTTTTCTAGTGCGTCTCCACTAATGAAGGTTGGCTATAATCATTGCAAATTCGTCTATATTTTCTGCTTTTCTTAAGAGCGTATGTGTATCGAACCCGGTCCAGTCGCGTATGTTTTTCAGCCAGGATATTTGTCATTTGATATAATTTCTAAGTATGTTCCCCAAATATGCTGTCTTTCGGCTTTTAATGGTGGTCAAAAGTTCTCTACCTCTTCCCATTCTGTGCAACACTATTTCGTTCGTAAAATGATCGGTCCATGGTATCTTCAAAATTCTCCTAAAAAGCTACATCTCAAAAGCTTCCAATTTTCTTATTAAGTCAATATTAACAGTCCAGGCTTCGACACCATAAAGAAGAATAGAGTGGATATAGCATTTTACCATCCGATATCGGATTTGCATATTGAGTCATTGGTTACTCAGACATTTTCTCAGAAATATCTTCAAAAGGGCTACTCTTCATTGCTCTATTCCTGAGAGAATTTCTGATTCAGATCTTCCGTAATCCAGACTCCTAATTATTTCGTTTTGTCCACTGGCTCAATATCTTCATTTTATATCTGGATCCTTGTAATGACTTAGCCCCTCTTACTGATAACCATGGTTTTTGTTTTCTTTATGTTTACTGTTAAACCAAACAGTTCTCCAGTATCACAAATTGTGTTTAGTAACGTCTGTTGGTATGTCTCATTTTTAGCGATAATGACTGTATCGTCAGCATAACGGATTGTATTTATATTTTCACCATTTATCTTGATCGATTCTGTATAGTTTTCAAGTGCTTGCGTAAATAACTCTTCGGAATATATAGGTATTAAATGGTAATGGTGAAAGTACACAGCTCTGTCTCACTCCTCTACTTATCTGTTGCGCATCCGTGCTGTTTCCATCTAATGTTACCACAGTCTGTTGGTTCCAATAGAGATTTCTCACTATGTTATTGTCATTTTTTTCGAGTCCTTTTCTCTTTAGACATTCCATTAGAATGTTATGTTTAACTTTGTCGAAAGCTTTCTCATAGTCTATAAACGCAACGAAAAAATATTTTTGTTGGTCTCGACATTTTTGGGCATGAGATGTGAAACTATACAGAGCTTCCACTGTTCCGAAGCCGTTACGAAACCCAAACTGTCTATTACTCATATCCGTTTTGCACTTTCCGAATTAGTAAAAAGTAAAGTGTCACATTAGTAGCGGACAAAGGTCGATAGCCATTCTGTAGGTATCTCACCAGATTTGTATATGTTGTTACAGAGTATAATTATTGCACTTAAATTCTCTTCGCCTATAAGTTTAATTAGTTCACATTCTGTGTTTTTCATTTCTGATGTTAATTTCTTCATTTCTTGATTGTTACCAGTTGAAGCCTCAGCACTGCTAATTAATTTACAACAATTATTGATGATTTGACGACGATATTTAAACGTAGTCTGTTAAGAATACAAACTTGATAATTAAAACACTATCAGATAGACTGTTCAATTGACTCAGAGTTGGGTGTAAAAATTACTGTTGACGAATTTCCACTATTCTATTCACCTACTGGTTGTTTAGCATTTTTAGGATGTCTTACTTCATCTGTTATATTACCGAATAGACTTACCTAGTACATATTTATTATGTACGTAACACAACCCAAATTAAATATAAAAAAGATTTATTGCGAGTGTTCACAATTTAAAGTACCTTTAATGTTCGTTAAATCCAAAATACGAGTTCTAATACTACATATTAATGAAACATTCTCTTAACCTATTTCTTATCATTGATTGTCTCTCTTAGTAAACCCAGGGCTAAGGGATTTTCGAAAGCCCCACCACGGAATGACAACAATTTGCTTCCGCCCGCCTCCTCTGCCGCCAACAAAGAAATCGAGCCATCCGCCATCAAACACAAACAATCGCCAAATGCGTATTAAACAAAACCACGGCCTACTTTCCTCGACTTATCTCAGTTTTCGCGATTCCTCCGACGATGATTCTTTGAACGTTCGAGAAATCGAAAAATTTAAAACGGACAATTTGCCGGAGAAAAAATGCAGAAAATTGACGCACACGAATTCCTTGATAAGAAGAAAGGAGGAGAAGCCAGTTGTCATGACACGGAGTCAATCGGATGGAAATCTCGATAAGAAGGGACTCTCTTCGTCAACAATATGCATCAATCGGTACATGAAAGTGCTCAGTGGAAGCTGGAAAAATTTACTGAATTGTAAGTTAATGTTTTGTATTCATTATACGTTTCATATCAATTAATATTCATAAGATTATTCACTCGTTTTGTTACTTGCAAGCTAATTTGTGATACACGCTTTATTACCTGTTCAATTTAACAAAAAATTCAATAAACTTTACGTCATCCTTTCATGCATATTAAATATGTTAAATAATGCATTACATCTTATTTTGTAAATAGTACATGTGAATCAATATGATGCTAATACATACTAACTGACTTATAGTTTTTTACTAAAAATCCAAATTATATGTTTTTTATATTATATATTTTTTTATATTATTATATTGTTTGATAGATTCTTTATTGCTGAACTAAAGTCGCTTGGTTGTATTGGGGCATTAGGTTACAGAGAATGTATTAACAGCTGTAGTTATTTTATTCCTAGTCTCCTAATTTTATTACTAACCGTCATTATTGCTTTTGAACAAATTTTTATGAAATGGTTGAAAACAATGTATGTTTTGTCATTATATTCGCGTTCTTATAGGATTTAATCTATGGTATTAAGTTATCATTGAACCCATTGCATTATACAATGTACAAGGTGAACATTTTTTCATTTTATAATTTCAATCTTTATGGAGCTTAGGATCCTATCCAAAATTCATGAATTGGGTATGATGGCTTATTATTCTTGTTCTTCTAATGGCGCAACAACGCTTTGTGATTCTTCCTCTTGTCCTATTTACTTGGAGTTTTCATCTGTGGATGTAAAAGTCTTGTTTCCAAAGAAGCATTTATTTATTTATCTAAATGATAAATATAATTCAATTTCATATAAAAATTGCAAATAAAACTGTACCGAAAGACTTCTTGACATGTTGATTTTGAAATATTTTTAAAGCCATTGTCTATAAATTTTTCTGTCGACATTTTTAATTGTTCGGATAATGGACACACCCAATTGAGGTTTTTACGTTTTTGTATTACTAATGTATTGGTATATAAGAATATATCTATTTTAGCTTTTTGAAAGCTGAGTTTTCTCTTGGGATCTTAACTCAATTTATGGAAATGTTACAGTTTTATTTCAGTTCTCCACTAACATAATGAATTTTATCACTATTTGACATTTACCTTGTTGGTTTTCGTTATTTCTTTCAATCAATGGTTTTAATGTTTCAACTGACTTAATTCAGGTTGTGTTTTTATAGAGTAATGCGTAATACATCTATCCTTACCTTTAAATATGCCCCATAAATAACAAACGCTTAGATTAAAGCTAATGAAAATTTATGAATACAAAATTTGTAAACTAAACTTATGTATACTTAGTTTTTGTTACAAACAAAACATTGTTTTGTCAATTGTAGAATTTATTCCAAATTTTAACTACTAATTTGCTCCATAACGTGTAAAAATTATAACATTACTCTCAACTTAAGTTTACTCTGAACATTAAATTTTATGTGTATATGAATTTGAAAGATAAATAATTATTTTGTTTTTAGTGACTTCGTCTTTTAATATTGGTAATCAATTCCTACTATATTCTATCGAAGAATTGGAGAAGCAGTTCATTTAGCAAAATAAAAGCCGCTTCCCTGATTTTTATTTATGAATTCTGTGTTCATTTTTCCAAGTGTATTTACATATCTGAGATCTGTCATATTCCCCATCTTTGATTTAAGATTGATGTTAACTTATTATTGATTTAAATATTATGTTTATGTAAGGTTATTTTGTAATGAAAATTACATTTTTAACTAATGTTTGATTCGATTTCGACTGCGGAAATCGTTTTCACAAAAGAGTAATTTAAAAATTCTGCGATAATGTATAACCAATAGTGATGAGCAATATATCGCAACCGGCGAGCTGCTTTTTGAAAATCGCAGTTACCAACTGTTATGGAAAAATAAAAATAGCCGTGATTCTAAATACAGCTATTTATAAGAATATGCGAATCGACTAGCAATGGTCAACAGTTTTGTATTGCTACTGATTGTTGGACATATATTAATACCATTAGCTGTATTGGTACAACTGCTCATTTTTTAGATAGTAATTTTAAGTTTTACTCTGTTCTGTTAGAATGTGGTGCTATTGATGTAGCTCATATTTCGGAGAATTTGTCGAAAAAGCTTCAGCGAATTGTTGAGGCTTGGGGTATAAAAAAAAATATTGCTGGCAGTTTCTGATAATGTCTATAATATTAAAAATGCAATAGTACTGTTTTGTACCTTGTCTTTGCACTCAACTTTCGAAAGAGTTGCCTTTACCAATGTTATTAGATGCGCCGGAATATCTAGTTCTGCCAAAGTCAGAATGCCAAACAAAGTATTATAGCAGCCATGTAAGAAAAATATGCAGAAGAACTTCGCAAAAAAATATTTCAGCAACAGATTTATGTCCCGAAACAAAGTCCACTATTTTCACTGATAGTGATGAACTCTCAATCTGGAGCTCTTTCGACAAGTCTATGACAGTAGCTCAACCTCGGGGAACCAGTAAATCTCGTGCCATTATTGAGGCACAAAGATTTTTGGAGGATGAAATTTTACCAAGAAATGAAAATACCTTAAACTGGTCCCGCGATTACAAATACCACTATCCCACTTTATCAATATTCAAGGTGTGTGCTCCCTTGCCAATGAGAGAGTTAGCAAGAGCAGGCGTCAGTCTGCGAAAGCTGTTTGTGTTGTTGAAGGAGATATTGCGAAGACGAGTAGCTTGCTAAGAAGCAGTAGTCAGTCAGTGTGGGTGTCCTTGTGTCGTTTGTGGTGTGTGGTGAGAAAGGTTGCTAGTATACTGCGCCGTGGGGGTACTTTCGCGTGTTACGCGTGTAAAGAGAACGGCTCTTTTGGATTGAGCATTTTTGGCTTGCAGATTGTTAAAATCTTGGCGTTGCTTCTAGGGTGTTGAAATAATCATCAGAAAGTTCGTTTCCAGCCAAATTTAGTCTGGCCGGGGGAAAGGAACTTTATTAGCAGGGTGACTGGTAAGCATGTACACTAGAGGTAATAGAAAGATGTTTTAATGATCTCCTTTGCTCTGTACATTTCCTGTAATACCATCTTCTTATTCATCCAGGGCTTCTTTAAAGATGTTTTGAATATATAGATACTTATGTTAAATAGTGCTGGTGAGAGTATACAACCCTGTAAATATAAATATTAGAATTTAATATTAATCTTGAGAGTAAACTAAATTTCAGACCAATTCCTTACTATGTCGGGATAGTATCATGAGTTTTTTTCTGATTTTTCCTCGTGCTTTACAATGAGATTATTCTAAGAACATTTAACTGTCATAATTGGATTCGGTTGTCTTTTTACAAAGAAATTACATATTAAATTTTCTCAGGTTAAAATCGATTTCATGTAATCAAATAAACTCTCCTCCAATAAAGACGTTTGAGGGATGCACCTCAAAAATAGTGACGATATTATTGTTAAAACTTTCAATGGTTTGAAGACGGCCCTGTCGTCTTTAGAACGACGCAAACATAGCTTAGCTTGTTTGCTATGTATTGGTAAATATTTTTACCTGTATTATTACAAACAATTTTCTTTCTTCTGTATTATAACAGTCACATAGAAGTATTAAATAGTTTCATGTACGGTCTTTTGTTCTTTACTAAAACCACGGGAAGTCCAAATAATATTTAGCAACAAGTAACTGGAAGAACTCAATATTCCCGTTTTCCACTGAACAGTTACCAACAATTATCTTATATCTGATAATAAGTCCTTAATTTTAAATGTATAATATATGTCCGAATTGTCATTATGAATAAGGTAGATAAGAGGCAATTATTAGAAGAATTATTTGTATTATCCAGCAACGAAATAATTTGTTGAATTTGTATTTTGAGAACTATTTTTAGAAAATCAGAAATGTCAGAAAATTTAAAGTACTGTAGAGAAAGCACAACCCAAAAATATTACCACAAAGATCTTCGTTATTGCAATTACCTTAAAATCTGTATTACTTATTGCTTTACGTATTACAAATATTGTGTAACAGATAAAAGTCGAAGTTTTATCGATCAAAGTTATTATTCATTGTTTACCTTCTTAGATGCTATAAACAGATTTATTTATGTTTCCTAGTTGGAACTTTATGTAACAAGTAGGTAATTACTCCGGTATCAGTTTACACGTGTATTTACATGTAATTTGTTTAATTTCAATTTCTAAGCGCTTAACTACTGTATCCAGTGACTGAATTGCCTTAAGAGTTGCTCAATGGCTTCCAGTCGTTGTAAAACAAATTAATGCCATTCAAATCCATTTATTTTCGAAGTGTACAAGGATAATAATAATGTAGCACAAATTCTCACCAGCAAAATAACTGATAGATGTTGGAGAAACATTGTTAAATGTAATAAATCATTAAATAATCTAACTAATTAAATTTATTTTTTATTTCTGGTAATTAGGGAAAATGCAAAGAAAAAGAAAGAGGCTTTATACAACTTATTATTGTTCTTTATTATAACTTTGTCTTGAGACTCCGATTTTCAGCTCTCATCCCATCGTTTTCTCACAGGTCTCACAGGTAGTCTCGATCTCGATGTATTGGGTTTTTCAGACCTTGCAATTTTTGCGACCTTTTCATTCTCATTATGCTGATGTAGTATGTTTATTTACTAAGTCTCTGTCTAGTCCATATTACAATATATCTTATAAATTCATTCCTTTTTCGGTCCCTAAGAGTGTAACCAACAATGGATCTCAGTTTTCATAGCAGCTGTTCTTCTTGGTCCGTGAAAGTTTCTTGGTTGCAGCTGTTTCTGCTCTGGTTCCGATTACATAGGCCATGACTGGTCTTACGCAGGTCTTATATATTCTTCTTTGATTTCTCCTTGAGGTTTGCGCTAGTGGTCATGTTGACTATTAGATATTTGAAGTTCATAACTTGCTTAACACTCTGGTTGTTTGCCGCTAATTTACATCTCTTAGATCCTTTGTTAATAGTGAATGTTCTCAAGAATTTTCTCAATAGATATAACAATATTAAATTTTTTT